CCCCCCCCCATCCAGCCAAGTTTCAGTGATACATGTCAGGTTGGCCCTCTCATCAGTAATTAAATCATTTCCTATTTTTGGAAAAGGATATGTTACCCATCCTGAGATAATCCTCCTAGAAGGCTGGGCTAATCATAAATAAAATAAAGAATAAAAAAGTAAATGAGTGAGGCATTTTATTTGGGCACACGCATTAATTGTGTTCAGGTTCCTTAAGCTCAATGCAAGTTCCAGAGCTCTTTCTCTTCCCTTGGGCTTGCTGTAGGCCTATATTAAGAACCCTTTCTTGGAGCTGCATTGTAAAAAAAATCACTTAAATTATCAATATTTGGGTGAAGCCTGAATTTTATCATCAAGATTTAATAGACTACAAATGGACAACTGAAAAGAGTAGCATGGTTATGGGTGCGGGTGTCCTGACATTTTTTTACCCAGGGCCCCACGAAATATTGCAACTGCCTCAAACCCTGTTTTTCATTTCATGAACTTTTTCTGGTTAGGGTTGCTTCTTCATCTAAAAGAGACATCTGCCATCTAGTGGTTAGAATGGGAAGACCAGGGCCAGTTAATCTAGGGAATTCTTCAAATGCAAGTAGTCCCCTGGTTAAGAATGCCCAGTTTAAGGATGACCCATCATTAAGAATGGAGCCTATTGTAGCAAAATTTGAGTTAAATACACAATGATTTGAATTAATTACACAATACTACTTATACAGTATTATACAATAACATTGTTCCGGCTTACATATAAATTTGATTTAAGAACAGACCTTGGAAATGGAACTCGTTCTTAAACTGGGGACTACCAGTACTTCTAAAATGTATTTCCTGTTCACAGGCTTGATTAAAAAAAAAAAGTCAAAGCTTTAGTTTGCACCAAGGTTCACCAGGATTTAGAAGTTAAATTTATGTGTTGAGGAATGCTGGAGGCCATGATGGAGAAGGCATAAAAGTCTTTGGCTGTATATGTGGTTGGGTTTTGGAGGGAGGGAGGGTCTTGCTGGACAATGTCATCAGGAGCTGTGCAGGTACCATCTTGGTGGTGCCATCGGTCTTCTAGCTGGATGCAATTTGCCAATCTTAATCGAAGATTTAATCAAGGTGATCTTGGGCTCCTGTTGTCTGCATAGTTCAAGAAAGTGAGCATGCTGAATGGCTCGCTGGTTTATTGAACTATTTTTATAGTGCCTTTCAAATAACGGCCTGAGGGTAGTATACAACAAAACATTTAAGAACAACTTTCATCAATAGATTTTTAAAAGCAAAGCAACGGCAGCAAATAATGTAGTACTGAAATGAGTAATCCCATTCTCATTAACAAAGTGAATGCTGAGCAAGACAAAACCAGTCTCACCCATAGTACATCCTGTGAAGTGAGAGTCTTGCCTGATATGGATCTACACCAGACTTTTCCAACCTGATGCCCTTCAGATACACTGAAATAGAACTCCCATCATCCCCAGAGAGCAGAGCTGAAGTCTTAACCCCTCATGGTGGCACGCGTGTCGTGATGCAGTTAAATGAAGAAGCACCCAGCTGAACCCTTCAGATGAATTTCAGCATGGTTGAGCACTCTTATGCATAAGGGATGGGTCAAAGAAGTTGGCACGGGATGTTCTGCAAAAGGAGCTGAAGGGATATGCCTGATCTTTTGGGAAAATGTCAGGTAAAAGGAATGGTTCTCACATCTTTCTCTTTTTGCTTATTTGTAGGTGCTGCAATCTGCCAAAGAACAAATTAAGTGGTCCTTATTAAAATAAAACATCCCAAACGTCTTGGAACATTTTCAGTTTCAGTTTCTTACATTGTTCTGTTTCCCCCAAAGAATGAAAACCTTGCAATGGGGTGTGTGATGGCTACTCAGTTCAGCTGGGAGAAGACCATCTTGCTACAGGCCACCTCTTTAATTTTTTCAAAGTTGATCACAAGCATCTATTGTTTATTAGAAAGGTGGTAATAGATGGAGGTTATACATGAACAGCAACAAGAACAAACAAATTTGGAAATCTGCTTAAGACTCTGAGATGACAAAGGGAAAATGTGTAGTAAAAGTCTTGTCAGGAAGCACCCAGATTTGCTAGAACAGTATTCCAAAATGCAGTGTCCAATCTCCAATTTCAAAATGGTGTTTGAAGAGATCTGCAATTTGGCATGATTCTCCACTTGTTCGTGATTCCTTAGAGGGCTGGAAGAAGAGTTACAGTTTTTAAAAAGAAGCTATACTTAGACCAAATGTAGCAGTAGGATAAATGTGAAACATCAAACCAGGTATACTGATTTAAGAGCACTTTCAGACAACTAGCCTTTCTTTCTATTGCCCAGGACTTCTAAATGCATAAATAAAACCAAGCAGGGTAGATAGTCCATTCTCACTACATAAGATCACTAGCATGTCATGGGACCAAGCTTGTTCATTTATTTGTTAGATTTACATCCTGCCTTTTGTTCAGGAGCTCAGGATGGCAAGCATAGCACTCCTTCCTCCATTTTTTTCAACAACAATCCTATGAGGTAGGTTGGGCTTAGAGAAAGGTAATGAATCTATAGATATCATAGAGCATCAGTCAGCCTGGCGTAGAAATGTTTCAGCCCACCTAGTCATTGCTGACCAGTGAAAAGTTTCTCATCTCCACCTCTCATTTCACACCAAACCACAGATTCTTCGAAAGCAAAACAAAACACAACTGTAAACCCTTGTTGGCTCACCATGACGGCTACCCTCTGTCGTGACCAGTCAGTATTTGGACTCCTTGACACAGCTATGCAATCTCTTTGCCAGGGCAGTTATCGGGCTGGGAAGTGAGGGGAGCCAGCTATCCCCTGGGATGGCTCTGCAGAATGTCCTGTGCAAGATGAACATTTCAAATTGCTTCTCTTCTGTCCTGAGACTTGCTCCAAAATGGGAATTTGCAAAACCTTAGGATTATAGCAGGAAGAGAGTTGGGCAGAGCACTGCAGGGAGTACACAGTGATGGCATCAATCGATCAGTATGGGGCTTGATTCAATTTCATGTTGCAAAGCACCCAGTTCTGGAACAGCCCTCTGCACCAACATTTTACCATTTATGTTAGTATTTTTGCATTGCTACCTCTAAAACTGCTATAAATTGTCAGCTCTGTGTTCTTAGCCTGACCTCTTCTGGAATAAAATAACATTGCAGTCCCATAATATTCATCCCTCATTATTTCCAGTTTATTCGTATAACAGTGATATCCTTGCTTTCATAAAGGATCTGTGCCTTCATAGATTGGTCTACACCAGCTTTCCCCAGTCCAGCTCTTTGAAATGTGTTGGATTTCAAGATCCTAGGATTGTAGAGTTGGAAATGAATACAACAACTATCCAGTCCAACCCTCTAGAGGGAAACTGTTTAAACCTAACCTGTAATGGTTATACCGGTTAGAATTACAGGATAAAAAAAGTAGTTGGCTAATATTTTTACTAGGATCAATCAAATTAATACAAAAATATGTGTGGGGTTTTGCACTCTCCAGAACATGTCATCAAAAAAAACAGCTGGTGGGCACAAGGTTAGAGAAGGCTGCTTTACACCAGAGTGACCAACATTGTTGAGGTGTCTTTCTCTTTGGGAAATAAACATGCTAATGCTGGACAGGGCCAAAACAAACTGTGTATTGGTCTAGAAGCAAAAATAGAGGGGGGTTAGGGTATCTGTTCTTTTTCTTTCTGACACTCCATTTTTCCTCTCTCATCCTTTCTCTGGTTTCTTTTTCCTTCCCAAGCACCTGGAAGGGACAGATTATTCTTACTAGTATTCTGTGCATGTCATCCTTGCAACAGGGGTTCCGATTAGGCTGAGGATGGCCCAAAAATAGGTCAAAGGTTGCAAAAAGCCCTTGAACCCCTGGTTGAAATCCTATGTTCTGTGTAAAAAGTCGGCAACAATGGCCACTTCATTAAACGTTTATATATAGTATGGATTTATGTCCACCCTTATGCTGTCCAGACATAATACAGAACATTTGTGTGAGCTCTGATGCTTAGCTGTTTGGGGCTGGACTACTGGTTTTGTAATTTCAGTTGAAGTGGTTTCTAGGCAAAATAGGTTGCGGCACAACACTCTGAAAGTCATGATTGTTGACAAACAGTTTATTGAACCATATCTCCCCCCCCCACCCCTGGACAAATTATCTGGGGCCAGGGCAATTGCTCCCACTGCCCTCTTAAAAGGACACTAGCCCCATCTTTAACTGAAACTGAGAGACAAAAAATAAGCATTTAAAATCCCCATCATGTTATTTATACTGTATATAGTATGGATTTATGTCCACCCTTCAATATAAATATTTCCAGGCCAGATTTTATACATATATTGTATATAAATATTACATTCATAAAGGTGAAATAGAGCAAAATATGAAATTGGTTTGAAAATTACCCTTGTTAAAATCATCTCAAGTGTTATGAGTCCAGGCAAATAAAAAATCTGAATCAGGCACCCAGAAAACATCAACGTGCCTTCCAAAGACAGTTTCCTTAGAGAAAGCGTTCCCTAAGAGACAGAAGGATGTTAAATGAGAAGGTCCTCCTTCTAGCTCAGTGTTTTTCAACCTTGGCAACTTGAAAACGTGTGTCTTCAAGTTGCCAAGGTTGAGAAATGCTGTTCTAGCTGCTTTGTGCTTCACTTTAGATGTTGAAAGGAAAAAGACGAAGACCCCCAAATTACATCTGTTGTGTAAGTTCTGTGTGTCAGATTACAGTTAAGGATCTAGCTAGCAGCGCTGCTTCTCTGTACTTTATGTCATGCACTGCAAACAATTACATTGGGTTGCCAAGCTGAGTAGAGAAGTAGTGAGAGTTGCCTTCAAAGGATGATATGGCCTCCAAACCTATACTCAGCCCATTACTCTAGCAGCTCTATCATTTTGGCTCAGCACTAAGCATCCAAGACCTAGAAGAATTCTCGTTTGCAAAATACATCCAGGCTGGGATGTTGCTTGAGGATCCTGTATCCAAGAGCCCTCAGAATCCTAAGTCAGCAGCGAACATAGCATTCCTCTTGCCCAAATTACAGGGAACTATATTTAAATCACTGTTTCCACCCATACCCCCCACCATGCTATAGGCCTTGATTTCAGAAAGTCTGTAAATTATGCAGAAAATATTCCCCTGTCCCCTGAATTTGATACATTTTTATCATGCTTAAATATTTTTCTTCCCAGGCCTACCCCATGCAGTATGGAGCTTCACTTTTGTTGTTTTTATAGGCCTTTCTGCTTTTTTA